AGGAATATTGTTAAGCTTTTCGGGTGTTGCTTGGAAACTGAAGTTCCCTTGTTGATTTATGAGTTTATCTCGAATGGGACTCTTTTAGATCATCTCCATATTCCAGAAGGTAACTCTATATTATCATGGGATGATCGCCTGAGGATTGCTGTTGAGGCTGCCGGAGCGCTCGCTTATTTACACTCGGCTGCTTCAATTTCGATATTTCATAGAGATGTCAAATCATCAAATGTTCTCTTAGATGATCATTTAACTGCCAAAATATCGGATTTTGGATCCTCAAGACTTATTCCACTCGACCAAACTCATTTACTCACTGCTGTGCAAGGCACCTTTGGATACCTTGACCCGGAGTACTATCAGACCAGTCAGTTGACAGAGAAGAGCGATGTTTATAGCTTCGGAGTCATTCTTCTAGAACTTTTAACAGGTAAAAAGCCAATTTTCTCCACCGAATATGAACACAGACTGAATCTATCGATGCATTTTCTTCAAACGGTGAGAGCGAATCGCCCCTTTGATCTTATAGATGATCTTGTTATGAAAGAAGCGACCGAAGAAGAGCTCATCGACATGATTGGATTGGTAGAAATGTGTTTAAGATTGAAAGGGGTTAAACGGCCTACAATGAAAGAGGTGGAGTATAAATTACAGAACTCGAGAAGGATCAGACTGAAAAAAACAGGACATTGTTTGGTAAAAGTTGACGAAGAAACAGAGCATCTGCCGAGAGACTCACCTTATGGCTTCTCTGAAGTCGTCGACCAAGCAAATCAAGGTACATCCAGGAATTATACCTTAGAGAAAGAATTTATGTGGTCGCATCATTACCCACGGTGAGTTTGTATTCGACGTCCAAATCTTTATTGGCTGCTTGAATGATACTGAATAAGCTTCCTTCTGCTTGAGGATCTATGTAATGGTTATATGGGTAATGTTATGTTTCAAACTTGTTGCTAAAACAGTTTCTAACTCTACTTATATTGTAATGTTCAGAGAACTACCCTTTTATATGATCAAATCACGTGTATACAACACGTTTCTTCTCTTGTTTTATGACCATCGTCGGTCCATGTTTTATGGTGATGTTTCTCAAATCGTTTGTGTCGGACTGGGTCCGATCCATGACAAAGAGCCCTTACTATTGTGAAGTTTAATATAGACTCCTCGTTGTAGATGACTTCCTCACTCGCATCATTTTCATTGACTTGCCAAAAAGACAGTCATCTATAAATGAAGTTAAAAACAATATGTGATCACTACGCGCTTTCTTATAGACTCTGCACGTTTTCTTATAGAGTAACTGTTCCATTCTTAAGGACTCCTCGTAATATCTTATTTATAATTAAATATATCTTTACCCTTCCGAATTAGTTTATTTTTTTTTCTTTAATTGATATGGTTGGATAAAATAGGTGACCTTTGTAATTATTTTATTTAACAATATCTTTTGGTTTTATTAAAAAAATAAAGAGTAAATTCTTGAAAAAAAATTATAGTTTTAAAAAAAATTTACAGTGCACTCACATTCCTTCGTAAAATAATGATTTTGTCCCTTCGTTCATCACATTGACTATCGCCTCTATTTTTAACCACCTCCTGTACCACCATCGATAACGATCATGATCGATCACCTTAGTCGTTGGTGAAAGGGCCACTGGTAAGGAAGGAGGGGGGCGCAAGGTGAAGGAGGGGGCGCAAAGTTTGTCATCGTCTCTACCCCTAGTCACCTTTGTCATCACCTTAGTGGAGGGGCCTATAGGGCGAGGGTGAGGGCTTCGTCCATCGTCACTTTAGCGAGGTAAGGACGATAACGATAAGAGTGTACGAGATGCTCCTTTTCTTGTCGATACATTAGCGAGGGTGAGGACGATGAGGAAAACGACGACAATAAAGGGGGGGGGGGGGGGCGGCGACGAGGTCGACATGCGGTGGTGTTGAGTAGAGGCGATGGTCGACAAGTGCAATATCATTATTTTAAAAATATATATTTTACTATATTTAACAAAAAATGCTAGCCGAGAATTTTTAAAAAAATATGAGCTTTTTTTGAGAATTTTTCCAAATAAAAATAACTATTCCATTCTTATGAAAACTCCTCTCCGACTTTTTATTTCTCTGACCTGCTTCGATACAAGCGATTTTTTCCGTAAGAGGTAAGTAACGAAGGGTAAGTAAGGAACTACATTTATAATCAATTTTACTTAGCAGTATATTCTGGTTTCGAAAAAAATAAGTATTCTTAAGGAGCGAGACAAGATAAGATGACCGAAGGCGTCTCGTTATTCCGTCTAGAGCGAGAGGAATCCAATTTTATGGATAATCTCAGACGCGATGTATCACGTGGTGCACATCGACACACACGTTAGACGACTTGAAACTTACACCATTGACTTGACTTGTAGGGGGGAAAAGAGCTGCCGACACACACGGTGTGAGGAGGACCGCGTGATGAGACTTTTCGAGTCAACTGAAGAACCCTAGCAACATAATTTCAACGTTATACTTTCAAGAAAAGAACTCGCCTCTTTTTTATTGTTCTTACTTGAATTAGTCTTTGCGTGAGTGGGATAAATTTGACTTTTGCATTTGAGGACCATGTTTTGGATCAAAAATGAAAATGGGGCCCATTTTGAACAAATGATTGAGTATTTCAATATAATAAGTATTATGTTGTTTTATATATCCTTAATAGGTTCCTTTGGTCGAAACCATTATATCCAATCGCCGGTGTCACATATTTCGGGTAGCAGCCAGGTGTGGATGCGCTTTCTCATAAGAGTCGGAGAAACAAGTTAATTTTGGCAGGTGGCTTTAACTAATCATCTACATGTTCTTTGAATCATCCTTTGGTTTGATAAGCAATGACATGATTTTTGTGATAGAGCGAGGGAATTGAAAGAATTAATGGAGCCTGTGGAGTTCCTCCTGCTACTGCTGCAGCTGACAGCAGTGACTTCAGCAGCAAGCTATCCAACGTTTCCGCTCCCTTCCACCTGCCCAAAAAGCTGTGAATATCAGCATAGTGTACCCCTTCGGCTTCGGCGATGGCTGCTTCCGTCTGGGCATTGAACTCACCTGCAATTCCCTTGATCTGATATATATATATGCATATATATATATATATGTATATATATATATACATATATATATATATGTATATATATATATACATATATATATATATATATACATATATATATATATATGTATATA